GCTCCCAGCCTAAGTTTTGTCGATCAGGGAAGTAAAGGAATGAAAATAAGGGACGACAGTGGAGGAAGAAACCAACTAAACGGAAGAGAAGATCACTACGACAAACGCAGACTGAAATGCAGTAAGGACTCGCTTGAGAAAGTTTACAGACCTCCGATACACATATACGTAGAATGCATCAGATTACTGTTAGATTACAAGGGGCCTGGTAGGATATATCATCTGTCCTTAACAAGTTTTTTGCGATCTACTTCAGTATTAAATCGCTAAACACCCAGTTATGTATAAGAGCTGATGATACATCACCGCAAGTTGGAAAATCGGCCCAACGTGTGATCCAGAAACGCTAGCTGAAGGCCTTCCGTTAACGCCTCGTTTGTCAATCCAGTAGCAAACATGCCCCTGCAAATACTGTACACAATAGGATTCCAGTTTTAGAATTAAAGTTGGTCGGGTGTCGTCAAGACCTCTGAGTTCGGAACTTTCCACCACAGAATGGCATTCGGTCACATCGAATGCATTTCCGGTCATCTCACAATTTCACACGAAATTTAACCTCGGTGCAAAAAAATAATTTGTAAAATTCAGTCGTCAAACCACCGGAGCTGGTGTTGCTGAAGCATTCTCCTGCCATTCTCCAATGTTTTCAAATCAGTCCAACGCTAGCCACTGCCACACAATACTCGCCTCACAGATCGCACTGTCAGTCAATGCGTCGGTTTTCAGAGACCGATGTATTGGATGCGCGGTAGGCAAAACAAGGCAGGAAATTGTACCCAAGCAACGTTAATTTATCATCTTTAGTGGAGAAACACAAATTAAATGCGCAGTTCCATCTCAGATAATTATTTTGACTGATTAGCTGGGCTCCGACAGGCAAACGCTCTTCTGCTAGTCCTTAAGAGGTGTAGGAGCAGGACAAGGAGAAGGAGGAGAAAAAGGAGGCAGTATGATGAGGAGACTGAGGAATTAACTCCTAATGGTACAGTCCAAAAGACCGCTGTCAACCTGACCAATAAGATTATTTCTATCGACGCATCGAGGGAATTTTGAGAATAGTTTTGTATCCGCTGCGTGCGTGTGTCCTCAGTACTGTGCCTAGTTTTTGGTAGCTGCGTGGGATGTTGGCGACTGGCGTGAACCGATTTATACTAGTCCATTATTTGGGAAAGATTCGACCCACGGACTACTTTTTGGGGATAGCCATTTTGCTCTCGGGGACCCTTTCGCAATCCCTCTACCAAACTTGCCTTTTTCGTTGACTGACGGCAGTTCTGCGTGGTTCTCAGCAATCCGGAGGCAGTGAACCGGCATTTTTTGATTCTCACACGCAAGTGAAGCTCTAGTGAAAGTTGATTGACCTTCATGCATTCGCCCGAGACCTCCATTACACCCACGCATTATGCTTTCATCATACTTCCTACGTCATACCTCCGTACACAGTTATACTTCAGACCCCTTGAAGAAGGAGACACGATCGCTGGGACAAGAGCTTTACTAGCCTGACGTTTCGGATTCCTGCTCGAACCCATCATCAGAGACAAAAAAGCAGAAACGGGTGGTTGCTGCACAAGGGACTGCGGTATTTATAGGATGCCGTAGCCATGCTACCGCATACCTATGAACATTCACGGCTCCCCCCTTCATCCGAGATCGTCGCACTTGGTGTGATCATTGCTTGATGGCCGATATTCGAGTCGATAATTGCTGCAATTTCATCACGTGTGTTGGATGTTGGCGTGATGATTGCTCGACCATCTGACGCACCGACCCCGGTGTTGGGAAAAGTGTTCACCTCTGGGCTCCCCGCATGGCTTGTTACTCCGCCTAGGCGAAGTTTTATCACGGAGTATGGAGTTGGAAGATCGTTGCACTTGTTGATGGACTGGGGGCCAGTAAACCATGATTCCAGTAGCTCCCGTCTCACGCGGTTGTCACCTCTTGCGAGAATTTCGGCCTCATCGAATTTGAATGTGTGGCCGGATCTCGTCGAATGAGCCACAACTTGAGAGCTGGCGTCATTTCTGCGCACCGCTGCCGCGTGTTCGGCCATTCTCGTTCGGAGCTGTCTTCCAGTTTCTCCAACGTAGTTGCTTTGTCCGCAACTGCACCAGATTCGATAAACGACTCCAGACGTTTCTAGCCGTGGCAGTGGGTCTTTGGGTTTCATGACCAGACGCCTGATGGTTGCCTCCTGTCTGTGTGCCACTCCAACCCCAAGTGGTGCGAGAAGGCGGCTGACAGCTTCCGAAACGTTCTTGACATACGGAAGTGCCCGCCAAGATTTGGTGTCCCTGCGGTTAGGCCTTTTGTCCCTTTTGCGTATGCACCGGTCATTAACTGACTTCATTAACTTCAGACCCCATTATGGACTTTACACCGAATATACTTTTTGCTTCGTGTCTGGAATACGAACATGCGAGGCCCTATTTGTACATTTCCAGGGAAGTTAGAGATTCCATGCACAAATTATTGTTGGTGGATCGAATTTGGTTGAAAAAGAAGAAGGGGAAAGGGAGAAGAGATAGAAAGGCGAGGAGAAGTCTGGGGAGGAGGAAACTAAGGAAAGAACCACTGGTGATACATGTAAAATCCTATTTCACGCGGAACAATGCAATTACCTCAAAAACATTTTCTGGTTCGCCGCCTGCATGTCCTCGGTACTTCGTTCGGTTTGCGTTCGGTTTAGGATTTTGGTACAGCATTTAACCGAACAACTACTAGTCCCTTATTTGGGAACACTGTTTCCCATAAAGAGCAGAAGTCTGTGATCCAAGGGCCTTTTAGCTATTCTACTATTAATTTGGCCTCATTCGCTGATTGTATGGAATTTTATTTTAGAAACAAATTTCTTCCGGCACGCGGACAGACAAGGACACAGCACGATGGTTGTTCTTTTTCAAACGCGGTTTGAATCGATGGTAGATGGGCGCTGACCGATCGTGTTCCATAACACTCTACCATTGTATATTCCCAGTCGAAACTGACAGGACAACGAGCTCGTGGCTCATTGGTTAGAGGCCTTGGACTTCTAACCAACAGGTCGCGAGTTCGAGCCTTGGGTGTCGCGCACATCATGGTTGGGTATGGCTGGCAGACGACAGCTAATGAGCCAGAAATAGCCATTCCAGTCGATATTCCCACTGTCGATAATGCTTCTTCGGCCTGATCAATCTGAGCTGCTCCTCATGGACCTCATTGTAACTACAGTGTTGAGGGTTTTGACACCAAAATCTTTTTTCCGGTTCGATGGTTCATGCATCAGTTAATGACTGAGGGCTGAGTTTGGTAGCAGGTGACGTCATTATGTCCACTGGTTAACATGCGCCCGTAATGAATACCTCGTTGGCAGACTGATTCTCTTCCTCATCCCCCTTTTCTTCCCACTCCCCTACTACTACTACTACTACTACTACTACTACTACTACTACTACTACTACTACTACTACTACTACTACTACTACTACTACTACTACTACTACTACTACTACTACTACTACTACTACCTCCACCACTAGCAGCAGCAACGGCGGCATCACCACCCTTCTCCTCTCATTCGTTCTCATGCTCCTCCTACTCCCTATCCTCCTGCTCCTTATACTCCAGCTCCTGCCCTTTTTTCGCCTTTCTGCTTTCGCCCAACCCCTCCCTCTGCTCCTCAAGCTTCTGCTGATCCTTTTGTTTCTAAAAACTCCTGCATCTTCATCCTCCTACCCTTGTTTTTGCTGCCCTTCCTTCTGCTCTAGATCCTTTTTTTTCTCACTGTTCATTGGAAGTAGTTATCTCCTTAAATTCATCCTTCTTTCCACCTCCTTAAATTATTCCCACCTAATAATCTCACACATCGATTGCAGTATGCGTGTTTTATTTGTTATCCCCAAAATCCCAGGGGCGTCCAGCGGTGGGTTTATGTGACGTGGTAGTAGGTCGCACACTTGCTTGCAGGTGCAGACTACGCCTAGCGTCCATTTGCCGTCACCCAACTCTCACTTGTGGCTCTCTGAAGGTAGGCTGTACCTATCTGCCAAACCCCGGTAACCTCCTCAACCAGCGGACTAAACCAGGTGAGGGTATCCAGGTGTACATCCGCGCGCAGGGTAATGAGGACACCGAAGGCAAGATAGATCACCGCATCGACATCGCCGTGACGAGGCTCCGTCTGGAACCCTGCAGGAGGCCACAAGGTAAGCGAGCCCCCAACGAACGTTGCTCTGCTGCTCTTGCTGCCTTTTTGCCTGCTCTCCGTTTGCTTGTCTGTGTTTGTCCTTGTTGAAAGCCAACTGCTGCTCCGTTGGATTTCCTGTGTTGTCTTTGCTTCTTGTTGCTCTTGACTGCCTGCTTTTGTCTGCTTGTTCGTGTCCGGCTGTTGAATATGCCTGATGCCCACTCTTAATTCACCTTCCAACCAACGGGAAAGCAATGATTCCCGTCTCTCTGCCCTCCGCTTAGGCGTCGGCGTAGGCAGTCCTATGCTAACTCAGGTCGCTCTCCCACTAAAGAAAATTCGTGGCCGATAGTGGAGTTCGGCGGCTACCTAGGACAACTGAGTAGCCCTAGCCCCATTAAGGAATCGCACTGCTTACCCCCGCCAAGGGGAAGGGGTTAGAAAAGGTGTCCAAAACAAATGCTGGGAACTACGCCGTCTGCAGGCTGATCGTGGCCGCAGACGCCAACGACATAGTCGAAACAATGAAAATAGAAACAACACACACACTTTCCCCCTCCTCCTCCTCCTCCTCCTCCTCCTCCTCCTCCCCGCCGTCCCATTCGTTGTCACCAGACTGGCAGGGTGAGCCAGCTCACTCTGGCAGCCTGGAATGTTCGTTCCCTTTTAGACAATCCGAGGAGCAACCGACCGGAGCGGAGGACGGCGCTAGTGGCACGAGAACTGGCGCGCTACAAGGTGGACATCGTCGCACCCAGCGAGACCCGACTCTCCGAACAAGGCCAACTGGAGGAGGTGGGTGCCGGCTACACCTTCTTCTGGAGCGGTCGACCCAGGGCAGAGCGACGGGACGCGGGTGTCGCCTTCGCCATTCGGAACGACATCGTAGGACGACTGCCCTGTTTACCGCAGGGCATCAACGATCGCCTGATGAGCCTCCGCCTGCCTCTCTGGGGAGGCAAATTCGCCACCATAATCAGTGCCTACGTTCCGCCGATGACCATCCTTGACGCCGCAAGGAACAAATTCTACGGCGACCTGCATGCTCTCCTGGAGACTCTGTCGAGAGCGGATAAGTTGATTGTCCTTGGTGACTTCAACACCCCCGTCGGCACAGACCATGCAGCCTTGGGAAGTGTGTTAGGTACCCATGGTCGAAGGCTCCAATGACAAGGGCCTACTCTTTCTACGAAGTTGCGCAGAACACCGGCTCACCCTGACCAACACATTATTCTGCCTCCCGATGCGAGAGAAGGGCACCTGGAGGCATCCTCGGTCGCGCCAGTGGCACCTCCTGGACTGTGTCCTCGTCCGGAGGCGAGACCAGCGGGACATGCCGGTGACAAAGGCAATCACGGGTACCGACGCGTGGACCGACCATCGCCTCGTCATCTTGAAGTTGCGGATTCTCGACAGCCACGCAGGAGACCTCAAGGTAAGTGACCTCCCGGTAAGCCGAATATTGCCTTGTTGCCTTTGCCCGCTCACCATCGTCATTTAAACAGCGAGCTAGCTCAACGGCTAGACAACCTTCCAGTCGCCGCCGCCGTTGATGAGAACACCTCCGTGGAGAACCGTTGGCGTCAACTGCGGGACACAGTCCAGTCGACGGCGCTGGCCGTCCTCGGTCGCGCACACCGCCAATACCAGGACTGGTTTGATGAAAACGACGCCGCCATCAACAACCTACTTGCCGAGAAGAACCGTCTGCAAAAAGCCTACGTCGACCACCCCACTGACGACAACAGTGCTGCTTTCTACCGTAGTCGCCGCCCTGTGCAAAAGCGGTTCCGGGAGGTGCAGGACATTTGGACGGCTCGCAAGCCGAGGAGATTTAAGGGTGCGCGGACCGCAACGAATGGAAGAGCTTCTTCTCGACGATCAAAGCTGTCCACGGTCCGCCAACCAAAGGTACTGCACCTCTTCTCAGCGCCGACCCAGTGTCTGGAGCAACAACCTACACTCGTCGCATCCGCCTCCACTGTCCACACTGCACTCGCGCATTTATTCACCGCATGGGCCTATTAGGCCATATGCACGTCCGTAAAAACCTTCGGTAGACCGCCGCCGGCCGCATCCTGCCATCACACCCTCCCCTACCAGCATCTCAACGCCCATCAATCTCACCATCCTCAAACACCCAACCGCCATGTCCCACGCAAATGTGAAGCACGCGTCTGGCTCATTCTCTGTGTGGGTCTGAGACTGCCATGGTGCGTCGAGCGCCGTGGCTCGGAAGGCAGTCGACTGACGCCCCAACTAATTCCACGCAGTCTGTCCAATTGTAGGTGCGTGTATGTGTTTGCATGGAGTGGCAGACTGGTGGGTTGAAGCGGCTCATTCTCCAGGGATCTATGACACTCTCATACATGTGAGGAGAGTGTGTGTACTCTATGGGATAGTGCTCCTGAGTCGACGGCTCAGTCGAAGACTGTTTTGTTACCTAACCTTGAATGGTGACGGCCAAGGCCATATGAAGGTCAAAAGGTCTGTAAACGTGCGCTACGCCAGTATCAGCAAACCCTGGCCCTCCCAGCCTGGTAGGCGATGGCAGTTCCCTGACACCTGGTCCCCTGCCGGTTGACGCACTTGCGCTCCCGCTGGATATACAGGTCGTGTGCATGGCTACCCAGTCATCTTCGTCGCTCTGGCCTCCGTTGGGGGTGTTGTTGTTGTTGGTGAAAAAATCTGATCATTTGCTGTGTGGGCCAGGGGGTGTGGTGGCAAGCCTATGTGCTGCTTCGGCAGTGCCAGTCAGCTGCGCCCTCCCCCCACCTCTGGTCTTCTTGACTCTCTCTTGTTACCGGGTCTAGGTGAGGAGTGGGAAGTGGAAGTGCGCTGGATGCTGTGTAAGTCTACTACCATTATAAACTAATTCACGCCCAAGTCGCCGTCCCTGCTCCACCTTGCTGTGGAGCGTACGGTGTACATCGTCGAAACCGACGTCCAGAATCTTATCTCAAAAACCCTAGGTATAGACGACTTTCCGAAGCCAATGTCGTCCTCTTCAAATGCAGTCGGCTAGCGGAAGCACTTTCCTATGCTCTATGGAGAGGGAAAATGCTATATTCCTCAATTCTGCATCCAGACGGAGCATTTGGCATTATTACCGACTTTAAGGATCATAAGGCAATTTCTGAGAAATATGCCATTTCGCCTGACTCGATGGAGTTAAAAGATTAGGGTTTAATTTTCGAAATTAGCATACAGAAAATGCAGCAGGGAAAATCCACTGTTGATGCTTTAGGCTTGACAGTGCGTGGCGCAGATGTTCGATCAACTCAAACGTCATTTTGTTTGTCTGCATAATGCAATATTTTTGACTCGAAAGCCCAGCTGTTCCACCTTGATAGCCCCGACCTAGAAATGCGGCCAGTCAGTGATCCGAGCATTTTTCGAGCTCGCTAGTGAAAGGTCGACATCTCAACGCCTAAAAAGAAAGAGTAACGCTGTTAAGCTAAATTGGACAAATTAAGGAAAGGGGAGAGAGGCGGTTCAAGATGCCCTTACCTGAAGCATTTAAGCTGAGATGTTAACCAGCAACCCAATCCGATCTGCCATCATTAAGTAGTGCATAGAATCTCTCACTTATCTGGAACTGTACGAATAGGGCCTGATAAACGGAGAGATATGCTGGCGAGCCACTGTCACGAAGCAAGAAGTACAGTTAGGGATCTAATTCATGAAATGTGTCGAAATTTACAAATGATTGCCAATCACTCGCAAACCGACACCATTTCATGAGTCCAATGTCTATGTTAATAAAGAACAAGTATAAAAGAATTAAAAGCACAAAAGAAATATTAAATGCAGTGTTGCATTGTTTAGAAATGCCGATTTCTTTAAAAAAGCGCAATATCCCGAAAACGTCAGAAATGACTCCCAGTTAGTAAACTTCGTTTTTAGATGTACAGGATATATATGCAGGCCAAAAAGAGGTAAATATGAAAGTAGAAATAATATAACGGCTAATTATAGTGTTTTAGTGACGTTTGCATCTAAATATCATATAATAAGTAAAGTGATTTAATATATAACGGTTTGTTAAGTGCCTACATTCTGAGTGTAGATTCCAAAACAGTTTTCCAGTGATTCGTGTTATTTTTGAATCGTTTGAAGTAAATAAGATGGGGTTCAACAAGAAAAGCTGGAATTTGCTTGATTTCACCAATGGCGACATCGTAGGAACAAAAGTTTTCATAAGGTGACATGTCATGAGGCCGGTCGGTGCCTTATAAATTTAAATAGAACTTACAGGCGTCATCGTAAACATACCATTTTGTCTTTATAGAGAAAAATCGTCTTCTGTTAAATTAATTTATACTTTTCCTTCGTTTTGGATTACATTGAGCTTCAGATCGACCTTGAAATATTGCTGAATACTTCATGATTTTCGGTGTTTTCACCCGATCGTCCATAAAGACAGATTCTGAGTTACCTGTCTGCTAGGAACTTTAAAATAAGAATATTCTTGAAGGCATTTACCGAATTAGTAAGTGTTCGGGCGCTCCTTTTCACGAAGAAGGTCGTTTGAATCACATGTAAAGACTCCTTCGAACAATAAACCTAATTTTCGAGAAAAGTGTCTGTCCACTACGAAAGACAGCAACGAATTTGTCTTCGATCAAGAAGAAAACTTTCCTTAATAAGTTACCTCTTTAGGAAGTACTTTATTACTGCATTTCGCCGACGGATTGCTATGTACTTTACATATTTGCACGGTGAGGCCAAGTAAAAAAATTTGACACTTTTGACGGTTTCTTTCACGTTCCGAAGCAATGCCTATATTTTTCTACCTTAAGCGCAAGAACATGCCTTTTTCTATACATAGAGGTCATTTCCGCTGTTTTTGCTCGCTTTTAGACTCCGTTTTTCGATTATGAATGCACGGCAGAGCGCCCTCAAGAAATGCTTCATTACTGCACTCTGCTGAAGGATCTCTGTATTCGTTTTATTTTTGCGCGGTGAAGCCAAGTAAAAACTTGACACTTTTGGTCGTTTCTTTCGCGTTCCTAAGCAATACTAATATGTGTCTACCTTGAACGTAAGAACATGCCTTTCTCTATACACTGAAGCCATTTCCACTGTTTTCCCTCGCTTTTAAGCTCCGTTCTTCGACTATCAATGCACGACAGAGTGCCCATATAAATACTGAGGAAACCATTAATGTTTTTCTCGTTTTATGTCTGAATAAAGTATGCACAGAAGTATGAAGAGTGTAACTGGTTCTGAAGTATAATTATGTACTAACTGGTTACCCTGTCTTTGAAGGGTAATAGCCTAGGCTGCATGCAGGGCTGCGTCTCACCCCTCTGGGCTTTAAGGATCGTGCGTGTCTGCTATGCCATGATTCAGCAAACTATGGCCTTCACAGTCTGGTGTGTGCTAACAGCTCTCAGGCACCTGATTTCCTGCCCATAGATGCGCTTGCGATTCCGTTGGGTATAAAGACATCGCGCAAGGTTGCCCCCCTGACTTGTGTCATTTCGTCCTCTCTCTGACCCGTTTTTGTTGTTGGTTATAGTCCTGATCAGGGAGTGCGGTTCCGGCCGTGCCAGCCTCACGTGCCAGCTCCCGCCTCCGGTTTTTATGACTATGTCTTGACACCTGACACAGGTGGGGTAGGAGGAGGAGAGAGAGCGGTAGATGCTGCGCAAGTGTACCAACACTATATAAAAAGTCACGCGTAAGTCACCGTGTCTGCTCCCACTTTGCTGTGGAGCACAGTGTAGCCCTCGTCGGACGCGACGTTCGAACTGTCAGAGCGTAAAAAGAATGAGGGAAGTATAGCGCTGGGGTATGGCGGGGGCTGTGGCGAACACGCGAGGACCAACCAGACCTGAGAAGGGCGTCATTTGCGCGTGTGAATCAGTACATGCGGGTGCACAGTTTCCGGAATAAGTGAATTTCTGAGGACCATGCTAGACAGTAGTCAGTCAGTGAATAAGGTAAGCTTGGTAGTGCAATTGCCAAAGAGCCGCCAGATAGAGGAATTGCTATATCCGAGAAAATGGCCCGAGGGATGAACTGTTCCCAAATAATGGACTAGAAGTCATTCGATTAACTGCAGCCGCCAACATCCAACACAGCTACATAAGACCAGACGCAGTACTGAGGGCACATACAGGCAGCGAATGAGAAATTATTCCAGAAATACCCTCGACGTGTCGCTGGAACTAATTTTATTGATCGGTTTGACAATGATCTTTTGGCTTGTATCACTAGTGGTCACTCCCTCAGCTTTCTCATTCTAATTAAACCACCACCACCACCACCACCACCACCACCACCACCACCACCACCTCCTCCTCCTCCTCCTCCTCCTTCTTGTCCTACTCCTACACCTCCTAAACGTCTTAGGGACTCGAGAAGGTCGTATACCTCTCAGGGTCCTGTTAATCAGTCAAAATAATTATCTGAGATGAAACTGCGCACTTAATTTGGGTTCATTTAGCAAAGCTGATTACCGTTTTTTGAGTGCAATTTCCTGCCTTGTTTTGCCTAGTGCGCATCGAGTATTGCGTTGGAGTGGCAAGCGTTGGTCTGATTTGAAATCACTGGAGAATGGCTCCGCATACATCAACACCAGCTCCGGTGTTTTGATGACTGAATTTTATAAATTATTTTTTTCACCGAGGACACAATTCGTGTGAAAATGTGAGAGGACCGGAAATGCATTTGGTGTGACTGAATGCTATTCTGTAGTGAAACGCTTCGAAGTGTTTGCCATGCGAACTCGAATTTCGCATGTGCTTCTTGTAATGCCGACCAGTGAACATCGCTTTGGACTGACTCCCGTGAGAGCTGAATGAGAGCCATAGACGGATATTAGGCTTAAACTAGTAGAATTCTAAATCAGGAGAGGATGATATTCGGAGTTGAAATCAAAATGTTAGTTGGTGGATTTGGGTGAGATGGACGTGAAAACATGGTGTTGTCTTCCAAGTGAGGATTATTCCACTGGTACTCAGAGTCTCTGTCGACATCCGAATGACTGTACTTTTAAAACTGGAGTCTAACTGTGTTCA